ACCCCCGGGTCAGGGCCAGTCCCTGACCCTGCCTCAGTACGGCCAGATGCCACCGGGGTTCCCCGGAGCATGGGAAAAGCGGGCCGTAGACAGAACTGCCCACAGTTCCACTGTCTTTGCGCATGGAGGTCTCCAAGAGGGGCCCCGGGAAGCAGCCTCCGGGCTGCGGAGTGAGGGGTGCAGTGGAGGTCCAGGGTTGGGCACTTGGGCCTACCAGCAGGAGGCGCTGGGGCACGACCCCCCCAACTCTACTGGGAGCCCTGGGGAGGCCTCCTCCCCAAGACTGAGCTGAACCTTCTTGACCTGCTACTCTCTTCAGCCAGCTTAGAGCTGTTTGCTGCCCCGGGCTATGGACGCCCAAGTTATCTTTGGTGGAGCGGGGAGCCTCGAGCCTCCCTCTGATCTCCGCACCTTTCTTGCCCTCTGGGGTTGTCTGACCTTGCCCAGCGAGAGGCCTCAGGCTCTCTGGCCCTGCTAGCAGCTGGGCGCCCCAACTTCACAGGCGCATGCACCTGTTCCAGGCCACTTGTTGCTCTGAAACCACTTGGAGAGCCCGGGAGGTTTTGCCAGACTTGAGGCCGGCTCCCCTTCCGCACCACCACCCCCAGTCTAGATCTGCGTATTATTAGCCTGAACTGGGGGCTCTCCGCAGCCCCCTCCCTAAATTCATTTAGAAGACCTAGCCTCTACAGATCCCTGCCTTTTCTTTTTTTCTGAGAACCCACATGGGGCCCATGAGTCCAGTCATTTCCTCCATTCAGGAGCTTAATCATTAAGCTCCTCTAAGTTTGGGGTGAAGGATCACCGAAGGATCAGGGGTGGAAACACATAAGGGGTTCTTTACCTCTTTTGAGGTGAGCAGAAGGAAAATTCTATACCTGCTTTACCCCCACTCCCTCTCACCTTCGAGTCCTTATACAAAAGCTGCTGGAAGAAGCTGGTCTATTTCCGGCTGGCCTTGTTCAGGACAACAGAGTGGTGTGTGAGCAGTTTCACTTTTAAGGTGCACTTTTCTGAAAGACACCCCCTATTTTTGGAAACTTTCCCCCCAATTCTTTTATGGTATCGCATTTAGCATCTTATTTGGGCTGCACCCCAAATCTCCAGTCAAATTAGGAATTGGTTTCTGAGCCACCTGTCATTTAAAATTTCCTAATAATTAGAACTGCCTAAAAGTGGAATGGGCTGCTCGGAAAGGTAGTGAGTTCCCTGTCATGGGAGGTCTTCAAGTAATGACCAGAGAACTTTTGGGGAAAGTTATACCAGAGTTCCTTCTCAAGTAATGGTTGGCCTAAATGGCTTGAGGCCCCACCACTTCTCAAATTCTATAGTTTTAGATTTCTCATTGTGACACCCGGATGATTTTTTTCCCCCTCGAAGACATTCAGATTGGGGCAAGCTGATGAAAGTACAGCACCAGGGTGCTGGTGGATGTGTGTTTGGGTGTTTTAAATATATGTATATATTCAACGACAAGATGAAGACGAGCTCTCCGGGCCTTGATCGTTGGCATATTAAATGCAAATAAAGCTAAAAAAAAATGAGCCACTTATAAATGAAGGATGTTTGGCTACAGCCCCAAGCCTATTGCCTGCGTGCATAATTAAATATTAGGGTTCAGCAAATAGCACTTGAGCCAGCAGCAAATGTGGGACGCCTCGACGTAATTACTTGCAAGTTTCTCATACTTAAAAAAAAAACACAACATACTTGAAGTCTCTTTGATAGCAGTTCAATAGATACCCACGAGACGCTTGTCAAGCCTCCCCCTTCCCGACGTTTCTCTTGCCTCCAGCGCTTTCATCCTGGGCTTGAATTGTGTTGTCAAAGTTTAGAAGGCGGGAGGGGGGGGCGGTGTGTGGAATAAGAAGAGTGGGGGGAGCTTGAAAAGTCTTGGAAATCGGTATATTTTGCAGGTGTAGAATGTGGCTAATAACCATGCACAGTGCGCGCTCCCCAATGGTGAGAGTATGACAGGGACAGCTGGCTTAGTTTTCAGTGTGAAAACACCCCCTCGGTGGACCAAACACAACGACACTGACCTTTCTGCAGGGGAACCAGAGATGTGCCTTTGACTGAATTAGCCATAAAGACGTCTTGCTATGACTTTTGTTCCCCACGAAAGCAAAGAAATATTGCGTTTAATATGAGAAGTACTGTTCACAGCTTTTCCGTGCCCCTAAAGAAATATTACGGGGCTGATTTACTGGCCCCTCTTCTACCAGGCAGGCTCACACTCTCAGAGGATCAGGGAGAAGGAGAAGGAGGTGGAAGAGGAACACTCTACGCCATTTGCCTGTTGCCTGTTTTCAAAGTTCTCACTCTTTGCAGCAGCATATTTATCAATCTTTTCATCTGACAATACTTTGAAATACATCATTGTCATCCGGGGTCGGTTGATAGATTATCTGCAGGCACATAGCCCTTTTCCAAGGTCAAGTTGAAGAGTCTTGTTTGCTGTTAACTGGAGTTGTTTAAAAAAAAAAAGCCAAACAATGCCCGCCTGTTAACTCTTCTCTTGTTCTTCTAGGGGAATCAGAAAGGAAATTTCCCTATTGACCAGTTCTCTGGACATTTCATCCCCCAGAGCTGCAGTTTTGCAAACAAGTTTGACACTTTAACAAACACAAGTGAAATGAACATGAGGATGGGAAGAGATTTAATCTGAACGTTTGCAGACGGCAAGAAAAGATTGGGGGCTAAATCATCTTTCCCATTCTCCAAAGTCTGATAGAATTCATCTGCACCGTGCGTCCGGCTTATAGACACCAATGTCAGTGTGGCTTCGGCTTTTTAGAAAAATCTCAAAACTTAATCCCTTAACTTCAGAACAGTAATATTGGAAGGGGGCTGAGACCACTCTGGTAGCTTCCCCAGAGCCTAACATATTGCTTTCAGGGATTGTTTAAAATAAAACCAGCGATAAAGCTTTGCATTTTATGAACTTTTTTTAAAAAGGAAAATCTGGCTTCACAGTTTCCTCTATATCTATGATGATTGATATTTTTTATTCAGCCAACTTTTATTTACCTTGCAAAAATGTTCAGGACCAATGTGATAAATTACAGATATGCAAATTTCTTTGAATGGTGTTGTAAGTGTGTCTCGCTAGAGCTGAATAACTCCTTGCAAGTCGGTCTGTGCGCACTCAGGACCCCAGGGAGCTGATCAAAGCACCCATTCTCTTTCATCCCCAGTATTCTCCTCCAAACTATTTCGATACAATATGTTTCCATGATGCACTTAATGTGCTAGGGACATAGAACTCATTACAACCTAGCTAGTTCTGCCGACCTCTTTGTTCAGCGGCATGAAGTCAAAGAAAAAAAAAGTAAAGGCTCTGCCAGTTGCCAGCTTTCTGAAATGCTAAAGCATGCGTCATTTTTCACCAGGTCTCGTCTTGATATCCTCAAAAGACAAACTATGAAACCGGCCTCAGCCCTTTCTGGCATTAATTACACTGCTGTCCAGCCGATCTGTTTTTCCTATTATATGCATTTCTCAGCAGGGATTTTTTTTTTTTTTTGCAAGACTAATGCAGCTGCGGGTTAAACTATGAAAGCATTTTTATCACTATGGAAAAAAAGTAAGTGTAAACGATTGCAAAACGTCCAGGAAAACTTTTGAAAGACTTGTTGTTGGTAGAGGAATTAGTTTGAGGAGGTTTGGGTAACTTCTCTAGATCTGACATTGCCAAAGGGCCTCTAGGAGTTTCCACAACGTCTGGGCTTTTCCTTGAGGACATGTTCCACGTGGCTTGAAATTCTCTTTTGGTTTCTAAATAAATTTCGAAGATGAAACCTTTAAGGCTTCCGTTGCCATTCTGGAATGAAGAAACCACACGTTGAACCCCCAACTGCTAGCCTGCTTCCTAGGAATTTAGGGCAGGCATTATGGCAGTGAGAATATAAACTCTATTTCACTCGTTCCGTTTCTTGTAGGGTTGATTGGTTGGTGGAAATGGCTGGCAGCCAGTTCTGGGAAAGATTCCAGACCTGACTCCGATTAACCCTCTCTGGTGAAACTCTGCTGGAAACCAACTCACCAGCAATTGCCATTAATCTACTTACTAATTAAGCCGATTCATTTCTAAAGGAGAAAAATTCCTTTCTTTGGCCAAACTGATGGGAGGAAATTTGAAAGAAGCGCCAAACTGTGTAACTGTAATTCAGCCAAAGACTGCTAAAACAAGGTGTTGATATATAGCAGGAGATTTAAAACAAGTTTCTAGGGCAACAATCCTTTGGAGACGGTGGTATATAGTGCATAGTAGATGAAGCTCGAATAATGCTGGGCTGCGCTGTGCCACCCCATGTACTCGGGTTGAGAATAGCGAGGCTCTTTTCCAGTTAAATCTTTTGCTTCCTTTTACGCACAGAGGAGTCTATCCCCACAGTTTTCTGTTTGCGACAGAGGATTTCAGCTATAGGTGACTGCTAGCAGAAATATATTTCCTGAGGCTTAATGAGGATCTAGTTATCTAGCAGAGGGGACTTCCTAAAAGGTTATTGCTGACGCTATAGTCCTGGAACTTTTAGGGTGAAAGTGGGAACTGAACATTACGCATGAAGGGATGTAAAGGAAGAAAGAGTGGTTCTTCGTTCTTCAAATGGAATATATAACTCACACTTTAATCCTGGTTTTCAAGAAAAGCAAAAGATGGTGTCTCTAACTTCCCAGCACAGAACTAATTTTTTGGAAGGGATATTTAAAATTAGAGTATTCCTTTCTTAAATAAAGAGCTTTGCGCCAGCGCTAATGTTTTGAGGAAGAATTCACTGATAACCTCGAACCTTTATGGCTTCCCTTAAGGAAGACTTACTCAGTAAAGGCAGCTGTCCAGCAGTGTGGTTTGTGTAGGGAGGTAGCATCATTGGTCAGACTTTATTCCTGCTTCTAGGGTCTGCTTGGAGGTGGGGACCAATACTGACCTGTCTTCTGGATTACAGAGGGCACAGACAATCCTAGTTTGGTAAACCTCTTTATTGAAGATTGCTCCTTTGCATATAGCCCAGGTCCTAGAGTAGGCAGGGGGTTAGTGCCCCAGAGCTGAGGGTTGTGGCAGCCCCTGGAGGATCTGTCCGGCCCAGGGCTTAACCTGAACACGCATGAAAATTACTTGAGAAAAGGATACATTGAGCGCTGATGCGGCAACCCGAAGAGCTTCCCCTTCAATTATAGGAGCTCATTCAGGGCAAAATCAGGGATGGGAAGGGGAAAAGGTTAAATAGTTAATTTACAAGCTGATAAACTGTCTATCTGGAACTATGGTAAAGTCAAGGTCTGCTCACTGCATTTGTCTTCTGGTACTCCACTTTCTGCCCCTTAGTTATTATTGGGGCATTGCTTATTATGGGAATTCAATATCAATTTCTTCTTCCTCTCCTTCCGAAATCACCACTGTCATAGAAGAGAAGATGAAAGAGACATGAAACTTGGTATACTCAGCACCCACTATAAGAAGCCCCATCCAAACAAGCTGAGTCCAGCTCAACTTCTAAGCACTATCTCTCTCTAGTAGAGGTCATGGACTTCATATGGGGTGATCACAGCCCAGGCCTTCAACCCATCTTGGTCTGTCCTGATCTGTCTGGTGGAAAAAAACATTGAATTTGGAATCAGGGGATTTGGGTTGGAATTCCCAACCTCTGTTACTTGCTACTTGTATGGCTTTAGGCAATTCATGTAAGGTTATTGGACCTCAGCTGCCTCATCTTTCAAATGAGAGGCTCCAACTAAGTGTTCTTTAAGATGCCTTTCAGCTCTAGCTCCTATGATCCTATGCCTGGTAAAAAAAAAAAAAACAACTCTCAGAAACAAAATATGTCTTGCCTGGGGGAATTGGCCTTTTCTCTATTTGACAATGCAATTTTTTCTAAAACCAGACTTTAGGTCTCCTTAGCTGATTTCCCCTGAATCCCTGCTGTCCTACAGCCTTTGAAATAGACTTTATAGGTGGTTGTGATCAAATCAGTAGGGTCAGTGAGTGACCTTCAACAGTGTCCCCTTCCCAGGGCTTGGAGCAGCTGTTGGGGGGTTGGGGTTGGGCAGCAGTGTCATGGAGGAAAAGTGCCTTTTTCAAGATCTAGGGTTAATTTTTATCTCTAAAATTGAAAGGTTCAAAATTTTGCATTTCTAACTCTTCTCCTTTGAAACACAATTGAGGAACATAAAAACAAGTTCCAGCAAGCACTGATCCAGCAAGTTAACAACAGCCTCCCTATTTGGATTCAGTTATGAGGGGACTAGACTGACCCCATAATGGGTTCTGCTGTCTCCTGTTTTGTCCTGGCAGGGAGGGAACTTTACCTGTTTCATGGATTGTGAAGGGAGCGTTGGGGGTCTGAGCTGGGAAGGCCCAAACATGGGAATCTGATGTTACAGCTTTGAACACGAACAATGGAGCTACTAACTAATCCCAGTGAAATCCAGGAGCGTGGAGAAGGCGACAAAGAATTGCAGCCTTTGGGCACCGGTAGGTGTCAATGTGGTCACTACAGCCAGGGCAATGAGAGAGAGAAGCACACAGAGCCTGGCTGTCATTCCTAAGCTTAACATGAACAAAGATAAAAAAGTGACAAGCTCGGTTTTCACTGGTGGAATGTTCAAAGTAGAATGCTATTGGATGCATCTGAGCCAATCCTAAGAGAAAAGGGGCCTTTCCTCCCTTTCCTTCTTCAAATTAAATATCAATACCAGTCCAAGCTACCATGGCATTTTCCAAAATTTTTTCTTTGGTTAAAAAAAAGAGGACCCCTCTTCCTTAAAGCAATTTTCACCCAGTCCCCACTATCACTCTAGCCACCTGTACACACTTCCTAAAGTGAGAGATCCAGCTTCCCAGCTGTTTAAAAGTGATATGAAGGATTTTTTGGAGAGTGGAGATTGAAAATCCTAAGACAACATTGGATTCTCAAATTTCCTTTAACTTCTGTCAACATTTCAACTACTTTGACATAAAATCCAAATGTTCTTTTAAGCATTTTATGAATATGAGTAACATTTCTTTCAAGAAAAATATGTCAGAATTTAATCTTATGGTGATGCTTAGCCTGAAGCACATAGTAAGTGTTTCTATAACTTGGAGTTCACAAAACTATCCACAAAAAAATTTCCAGGACCTCTGCTGTGTTTGGATTTGAGAGAAAGCACTGCTGGGGTGAAGGTGTATGGACACATGGCAGAATGCAATGTATAACTGCAAACACGTGAACATGAGGAGGCTAGGCACTTAATTAACACATTCGGTTTGTTTTATAATTTAGGAAAAGAATATTCTGCTCTAGCAACTTATTGATGAGACTGGTTGTTGGAATCATTAAATGGAAGCAATCACTAGGTAAGTTCATTTCAGTAAGAAATCCCATCCTTCCCAAATCTGAGGCAAAAACTAAAATAACTTGTTCAACAGAAGAATATTAAGTCATCATGTAACAAGATTCTGATTTTCTTTAGCTGAAATAACTCTCTTAAATAATTTTAAAAATTAGGATGTAACTATCCTTAGAAGACTAATGACATTTCACAGGTAATGCAATTTGGAAAGAAACACTTCCATGTTTTCTTTTCCAACAATGTGCATTTTTGTAAACTGCTATAAATTGCAATTCAAAAGCACTGATCTCACCATCCCCAACCATTTTTTATACTGATCAAATGAATGCAGATACTCCCACTTGGGAGGGGCGACATGACATTTCACTTGGCAGTTCTAAACAGGTCAGGGACCTTTCACAGACCCTAAGGCAGTGGGAGGGAGCTCTTTACGAAACCGTGTAACCAAATCAAACCAATGGTTACCCCTTTTCAATACCATTGGAACCGTCTGCACAATGCCATTCACATAGCGGCACAGAAACTGAAAGGATGGTCAGCCAATGGGAATGTCTTTTCTTTTGTTTAAACTTACAGAGCTCCAAAACTAATACTTAGAGGAAAACAATGAAATTTGTTATGACCCCCTCCCCAAAACAACCATAAGCAATAAGCATGCCTTCATATGGATGGGTAGGGGCATCCACATAACTGTACATTTCTATGGATAGATATGCACATGTATATATGTATATGTATGTATATTTATTGGAGATGTAGCTTTGTTCCAAGCCATAGGCACAAAGACACAACATGGCTGCCCTGGAGATGACCTATTGCTTTCAAGTTGCTTGAACACATCAGAATTTCCATTGTTAAGGTTGATTAATTGAAACTGATAAGTTACCATGAATAAAGATTGTTTTTCTGTTTAATGTGGTGGGCCTGATTTGGTAAATGCTTCATTCATGTAGCTTTGCAGTGCAGCATATGGGCCAGATTCATTCAGTATCACAAACATATACCATTTAGTATGCTTGTATGGTCACAACCAAAAGGCCTTTCTATTTTAATGACAAAGTTTGAATGAAAAATTCCATTTAAAGAGTCACTAGTAACATTAAGGGTGATTTTGTAATTTATTCAAAGATTTTCTGTCTGAGTTGCTGAGAATAACTGAGAGGGTATGAAACTTAAATTCAGTTTAGGAAAAAAAAAGTAAATGTAGCAAAATTACCCTTTAGAGTTTTGATCTTCTCAAAGACAAAAAAAAAAGTATCTCTAACACGTTTACAGACACATATAAGGACACATTTTACAGTATGGTGCCACCTTGTGTCACATACTACTGATAAAGTTATCACTGATGTTTCAATAAGATGCTGTCAATGATGTTTCACATTTCCATGGCTTATGTGGAAAGAATTTGGAGGTTATTTAGTAAATAAACAAGCAAAGTTCTCCATTTTGTTTTTTATGAGTGAAATCAGGAGGAAAAGTTCTAAAAAGAAATCTCTTACCTCTGGGGTTGGCTTGTTAGCTACTGAAATTTACCATGATTTTATTCATTCCTGGGGTTTTGTTTTTGTTTCTGTTTTTCCTCACTAGCTAAATGTCTTCTATCTCTTTTCCCCTCAAAGTGTGCTGATGACACATATGAAAGCTAATGTAAAAACTGCAATTTTTGTAGCCCCAGTAGGAATTCTCCTTTTTGGTAATAGCATTATTACACTGTTTAGGACCTTTGTCATTTTGCTCTACCTCTGTGCAAACAGGAGAAGAAATTATGAATCTGCAAGACAAACCTCTTTCTCCTTTTGTGATACACAAATGATCTAAAGAAATAACAGAGCCAAATTGTCAAAGATTAACCCACCAAACTGAATACTTGATATTTTAGCTAACAAAGTCTCTCATCCTTCGTGTCTAAGAAACAGTTCAAGTTCATCTAACATTTCTCAATTAAATTAACTGGCTAATCTCAGTTCAAACTCTTGTGGAGAGTAATAAACCAAATTGGTCACAGTTGACCACAGTTAGCATGTGTTTAATAAAAGACTGGATATCCTTTGGAAAGCTCATCTGTTCACCATTACTCTGTGAACTTCTCTTGTAGTTTAAAGAAATGCTCTGTGCCAAATTTTATCTGAAAAAGCAACTTTCTTTGGACTCTTTTAAATTAATTTACTTTTTTGGACCAGAAGAAAGATTGTTAGGAAGTTGCTAAATAGCTTCTGATACATTTTCAGACACAAACCAGACTTTTTGTAAAATATAAGAAGTTGCTCAATTTTAGCAGATGGACTGTATATTGTACCTTTTCTGAATAAATGGAGGTGATCCTCTACTTATGTAATGGACTATGAGATTCTAGGACATATACTTACTGATGGGACAGAAAAATGAATGCACTTTGGAAGATATCAGGATATACTTTTGAAAAGGATTTCTATTCTTATTTGTGTATAAACTTATATAGGTATAAAAATGAAGAAACCATTGTTTTTCAAGCTGTGTGAGATCAGTAAAGAGGGTTATAAAGGTAAGAAGCAAGAAATAGTTATCAGTTTAAATTCTCAGTTTACCATTCACTGCCATTCTCTGTGCTACCTACCTTTTATGAATAACTTGGATTTCATATAATTTCATACTTGCAGAACCTGAAGATTTAGCAAAGTGGTAGCCATAGTTTTAATTTGTGTATTAAAAATGTAGGTAATGAGATTTTTTAAGAAATTTGTTTTTCTTTCTATTTTTATACTTTCATTTGAGACTTTCTTGCCTTTGTTCTAGACTGATAGTTGAACTAGTCTCTTGAGTTGCTGTGGATGTCACTGAAATGGTTCTGTAGTAGTCCCCAGCTCACTTGCATTAATATGATATCATCAGTACATAGGAGTATCTACAGAACTTTCTTTTGATATTGCATTTTCTATGATATTGGAGAACACTCCCTATTATCTACCTCACTTGATGTAAAAATCTGGCAGATCACTACAGTTATTTCAATAGTTTTAGCTCTTATCTGAGAATTATAATCAAATCAGTGCTACCATTGCCTCTGGAAAGGGAATGTCAATTGACTG